GTGAAAGTAACAAAAACTTGTAAAATACATTTTAATGGGTATAATTGAGTGTGAAAATAACCGAAAGATATACAGTGAAACCAAACATGATTCAGAGACCAGATATAATTTTTGATATTTTTTTACTAGTGGGTGCAGGACACTATAGTTCATTTATGTAAGTGAGGATAGCAAAATAAAGTAAACTGTGACAAATCATACCCAAAAATTCTTCATACAGTGGACTACCAGTAAAATTGATACAAATTTGGGTCCAAAAATTATTCAGACCGAGTCTGGGAAAAAAACTTTGTTTGAGGTTGAGGTTTTCATGAAGCTGGGTGACAGCATGCCCAGGAGACTACAGGCTGTCATTAAGGCTAAGGGTTGCCCGACAAAGTATTCATAGTTGTGTAAATACTGTCATACTAACAGCTGTCTGAATAATTTTTGGTTGATTGTAATCTATTACATACATTTCTATCAAAATTATCTAACATTATCAAGATGAATTTGTTCTGACACAGTGTAACTCTGAGTTCTTGTCATATTTTATTACCATTTTCTAAACTATAGTGAATAAACTGTGATAATGTGAGAAATGTTGAAGGTGTCTGAATACATTTTGGTTTGACTGTATCTATTTGATAAATGAAGTTAACCAACTAACATTATACATACCCTTTTGGTTTCTGTACCCAATATTTAAAAAATTTACAAATGCAATAAAAATATCGGTATCGGTACTCGGTATCGGCAAGTACCAATAAAATAATACCATAAAATTGGTATCGAAAAAAGTATCGTTCAGGAACCGGTATCGAAGTCAAGGTATCGGTATCAATTTTTTTTAACGATACCTAGTCCTAGCTCTAACATCTACTAATGAACCTAGCAACCATCTAGCAAGGCTAACACCCAAAAATGTTTGCAACAACCTAACAATGCACTAACTACCAGAAACCATTACCAACCAAAAACACCTTAGCAACTGCTTAGCAACACCCTAGCAACAACTCAAAACAACCTAGCAACAGTTTATTAATGCCCTAGCAACCACAAAACAATTAAGCAACTGCTTAGCAACACAGTACCTCAGCAACTGCATAACATCCTCAGGTGTTTGGGGGGAAAAAACTTGCAAACAGAAAACCATAGCAACTGCCTAGCAACAAGGTTCCAAACAAGGTTTAGAAAATACTGAGAAAGTTAGCGGCCTATACTTGTCTCTGTACATGTAAGTATTTAAAAACTAATATAAAACTTCAATAACAGCATAGGTCACAGATGGAACGTCCCAGATAATCAATTAGACTTAGATTGAGGTATTTACTGTTACCCCTTTTCCACCAAGGCAGATTGAGTGCTGGTTCGGAGCCAGAGCCTAGTTTCAAATCGGTTCTTTGTCTTTCGACAGCCAAAGCACCAGCTCCAAACCAGGAAAAGTGGTTCGTAAGTAGCACCAAAACATTGCTGGTCTAGAAGTAAGAACCGCTTGCGTCAGGGGCTGGAGGCGGGGTTACCGTGACCAACAAGATGAACAGAAACTTTTGACCATCATTTTTGAAATGGCAGCTAAACACAAACACGTTGAATTCGCCATGTTTGGATGCCGATGTAGATTCGCAAAGCCATGAACATCAATATCAATGCAACGTCCACCATTGTTGACTGTGTTTAGGCTTGTTCGGGCTGCATCAGCACTGCACGGACTGGTCGGTGTACCGCGGGAGTGATTGGAAAGCAGACGACTCTCTTTATGCTTTTGGATCGCTTTCACGGTGCTTTGGTGTCGTGCGCCGATGCATCTCGAACAAGCCTATTGTGTTTGGCGCTGCCGCGCTAGCGTTACTGGGAAAGATGAGATGTATTCAGTGACTTAAGACCTGGCTCTGTGGTGGCTCTCTAGCCCGTGGAAAGGCAAACCGGTTCTTAGAAGGCTCGCCAGTTGAACCAACTCCGAACCGGCAATAGCACTAGCACCCGGTTCATGCTGGTGGAAAAGGGGTATGTGAAGCTAATGCTGACACAAAAACAACAAACATCCTGAAAACACAACGGCTACATGAGATTGCTTGAGTATTTACAGTCTTACCACAGTAATGACCTCCAGATCCTTCAGATATGTCCTCTCTGTGGTCAGGAGCTCTTTGGCAATGAAGTATGCTTTATCAGTCGGGAACCTCTGTGAGCAGAAGAAAAAAAATAATTAAATTACACTGAATTAAATGAAATTAACTTGAATTAAACTAATTAAAAATTATGAGGGCATAAATTAAATTAAACATTCACAAAATAATGACAGGAGATATTTCTATACTATTAAAGATGCCATGAAATCAAAACAGGATTTTTGTGGCTTTTAATACATTTCAGCAAATATAAGCATTTAAAATCAATTAAATATATTTAAAATATAAGCATTTTTCTTTTCTGATAAAAAATTATGTAGAAATATAAACATCAAAAAAATGCTGTTAAATCACATGCCAACAACTGCTTGCAAGTAGCAAATCACTTGACAACACCTGACAAACCAAACTTGACCCTCGCACACACACACAGCGACATCTCAGTAAAGTAAAACTCTCACTGTTTATTGAGCCGCTCACTCCACCGCTACATAATCTGCCCTAAATAGAATGAAATTTGGGTTGAGTTTTTCTAGGTCTCCTATTCTAAGACGTCCACAGAGACACTTGACCAAAATGCAGTGGTACTTCTGATGATAAAACACTTTTAAAGCAGCCTTTCCACTTCTCATTGTAACCTTAATTTGTCAAGAGTGCCTTCAATTCAAGCACAATGTAATTTAAAGAGGAAAATTAGGGTCCTTGAAAAAAAAAGACCGTGCATTTGTTCATGAACTACAATTAATGATGTTGAATTGGCTGACAAAAAACAATGGCAGCCTCCAAATGTAACCTTCTGCCACAACAGCCAATGAATTGAGAAACTGACTAGCCTTAAAGGGGTCATATGATGCTGCTAAAAAGAACATTATTTTGTGTATTTGGTGTAATGAAATGTGTTTATGCGGTTTAAGGTTCAAAAAACACATAATTTTCCACATACTGTACATTATTGTTTCACCCCTATGCCCCGCCTTTCTGAAACGCGTCGATTTTTACAAAGCACATCGGTCTGAAAAAGCGAGGTGTGCTCTGATTGGCCAGCTATCCAGTGCGTTGTGATTGGCCGAATTCCTCAAGCGTGTGATGGAAATGTTACGTCCCTTACCATATTGTGATGCCTGCGGCAACCACATGTGACGACCCCGGGCTGGACTCCGCTTCGTCCACATCTTTGCGTGAACATTTGGGCGGCGTTATGCAAATCTTCCCAGATAGTGACGTAGACATGTGGGGGCGTGTTAGAACGAGCCGTTTTAGGTAAGTGTGGCTGACTCTTAACTTTTATAAAGAATATCTCTTTGGATTTGAGACTTTAGTCTTTGCAACATTACAGATCTTCTTTATGCACCAAGAGCTTGTAACACTCCAAAGAGAAAGGAAAAATTGAAAATCGCATCATATGACCCCTTTAAGTATTTATCAGCAATAAAATAATAACTACTTAGTAATATTAATTAGTAATAAAACTAAGTGATAGACATTATATCAGTTAGGCATATTAATTGCTTTAATATTTGGTTATTCTGACATTTTCTGAGTGACTTTTCAGTAAATACTGAGTATTTATTTTTTAATTTTGTATTTATTTTGTTTATTTATTTTTGAATTCATTCATTCCATGCCAAATCAACAGTAAAAACTGGGTACTACAAATTAAAACAATCACAATAGCAATAAAAATTTAAATAAATAAATAGATAAGAAATAATAAATCATTATATACTTTAATAATATAATAATAAAAGTGACCCATCAAACCAAGTTTTTACTAACACGTGGTGCTATTCTCGAACACTGTTCCCTCCCCCCTCCCACCCTCCTCAAAAGACAAACCTTCCTCCGAACCTCATCCTCGTCATCTGTGCGGATGAAGCCAGCGTCGGTCAGTAAGGGGCTAGTGAGAGGAGAAGGCTGCCGTCCGTCTGGACTTTGGCCTAGGTTAAGACTCTGTTTCTGGCCGTTCACCATCACTTGGCCTGCAGACGGAGATTCGCTGTGCTGAGGGCTCCTGGAAACGGGACCTACAGGAGAACAGGCAGGTCATGCTAAAGCTTTGACGTAATGCGAATTGGGTTATCAAATGTCAATGGACTAGTTAGACCTACTACATATAGTAAATGCAATCCAGGGTTCAACATGTACATTTTGTAAAACTACCCTGTTGAAAAAAAGCAGCTAACTAGTTACCAGCAAGCATTTTAGATGCTGGTATCACCACTAGAAATCTTCACTAGCAAGACTTCTTGGTCAACAGCTTTAACAAAAATCTTTATTTTACTGGTATACTGCATGGTTTACCAGTAAGACCAGCACCAACCAGCTTGAACTAGCTTGCAAATTCATGTCAATCTCAGTCTTTTCTGCAGGGTAGTTTTGACATTTTATTTCGAGATCATCACCAAGGGGTAAAGTTGTACGACACACTTTGTGTTTGGAAATTAACTACGGCTGACAGCACCACATCGGGATCCAGACATGAGTGAGTCACACCATCCAAGTCTGGGATTTCTGCCTGAGGACACTGCCGGGATATATAACACATTCCCTGGATGATGGGGAAATCTTCAGACCACTACATTCACTACACAAGTACATTCACATACTTGCCCGAAAACGTTTCGTGTTCCATGCCTTGGCATGAATGGGATGCAACATGCGAACCGGGACATTTCAAATGCACAGAGTGTCCACAGCGCAGCCATTACTGAGGAAGTTGGAAGAGCCACAAATCTGGTGACAAAGGCCTTGTGAAGTCACGCACACATGCAAACATGCAGGACAAACAACTAAACGACTACAGCTACTCTACCACGAAACAAGACACACGAGGAGGGGCGCTAACATCTACAGGCTTCGAGTAAACATCTGGAGTCCCGCTTCACAAGTACCAAGTTTTATTGCTAATAATACACATTCATTTACAATGTTAAAGTGTTCCAGAATGAATAAGACCAAAGGTTTGGAGTAGTAAAAAGCAGACATCAATCGTACAGAACCTGTGAACAGGCATCGAGAAAATTAACAACCTTGAGACTTCCGAAAATCCATTTAAAAGTGCTACAGGGCTGCAACAGAGAGGAAGAGTTAAAAAACGTGTACTAAGGCTCATGGGCATGACCCTTCCATTGCTTACCTGGTTATTTAATCTAGTACAGTCTACGTCAGGCAGATTGTAAACACATTACAATTATGGTTAATCGTTTTGCATATGTGCCACAATGATTGCCTTGTTAATTATGAGTATTTTAAAAAAGTACAGTTACAATATATTACACAAATATATCTGGAACTTTTCGGATACCTCAGCAACGTACATTTTATGAAATAATCAGGAGATCACAGCTTGACAAGAGTGAATCATTCAATACTGCTACAGTATTCTCGTGATAATAAAACCTGCAGAGAAGTTAAATCACTTTTTAGTGTAATTTACAAAAACCTATGAACGCTACCTTGGCCACTGACAAATTACAGATCACTGGAAAGCTGGGTGGGTAGAATTATTTACAATCATATAAACAGTGGCATAAACTGTCACTTTCCAATAAATATTGTCAAATTTTATGTAACAGACCCAAAAACTGCAGTGGTCTTGCAAACGGCTTTGCGAACACTTTCCAAATCCTTTCACTGACATAGGATTGCCATGCAAAAGTTAAGAATATTTCTCAAAAGGAAAAAAGTTGGCTTTTGGAAAATAAACAAATGCTTTAAAAGATTATATCACAAATGCATTTCCTAGTGAGTCAGAATGCAATAACACATATGCAAAAAACAAGAGCATGGAAGTTGCGAAAACGTCTGGATAAAAGATTGAACATAAGTTTAAAGTACGTTTTAGGACAGCCCTTTGAAACCTTCCTTATCTTTTTAGACTTCACATGCTAAGCCTCAAAACAAGTTTCTTACTCACAGTCTGTCCAAATCTCACCTACATCCATCTCCACTTCAAAAGACTACTGCATTTTAAGGGTCCCAAGTCAATGCAAAGTATTTTACACATTTGAAAAGGACAGGGCAGCGAAATGCTGAGACAAGGACAGGTTGACATGCTTCCAAGAGAGGGAAAAAAGACAAGTTGAGGCATTCCAGAGATACATGCTGCTAGAACAGTGATGACACTGGGCAGGAGAGATCTTAAAAGCAATGCAACCTGAGCACAGGTTAATATATTTACAAATCAAAAGTACATCAAGCATTGCAAACGCACCGCAAACAGATGACATTGATGAGGCGTGCCAGAGATACAGTGGTTTTAAGAAAGAAGAAATTAAGCAGCAAAGCAAAACAAAACAAAATAAGCTCTTTTTTTAATGTTATATTTTTTAAAAGGAGTGATGCATGCTGGGAAATGGGCAAGCAAACATGACAATGCCACCAGACTGGCACCCCATGTAGAAACACCAAAGATAATGAACTTGGAACTTCAACCAGTTTGGGGAAAAAAAATATAATAATATAAATAACAAAGCTAGCATGAAGCCATCATGGTTGGGTGAAAATCTTTAACATGCATGATAAAATGCTAAACCATTTACTGTTGCTTATCTCATGTTATGTCAACACAGTCTTTTATTTTATCTGATATACCGTCCAACACATCCTACCAGTATAATCTGTTTTTATGACAACACAAACTTATAGTTCAACTTTAGACAAAATTTATTCATCAGAATCTAGAAGAACTTTAAACTAGCTCTGACAAAACGTCAATGCCACACAGCAGAGACACCCTCAAACCTTTCATATCTTGAACATATTGCTATTGCATAAAGAAATTATCTCTGACATTAGATTCTGTAAACTATGGCTATGGCTAACAGAAATAATTGTAATTCTTTGTTTCTACAAGAATGATAAAGAAATCTTCCGCAACGTTTGGCAATACTCAATGACTAATCAATTAGTTAGCAGTACTATGGGTAACCTTAATTTGCAATTGTAATTAGATTTCATTCTCTACATTTACAGACACGGCACTTTGCAGTAGGACCTTCAACTCCTCATCAATCTAAAGTTAATCTTCTAAGAGCAATAGTTATGAATTGTGCATGAAATAATCAAGTATTTCCTCAGGCAGAACACATTCTTCTTTCTAAACCCTCCAAATATTGCAAAAATACCATCATCGCTAACCTTGTTAATCTTGTAATGTGTAATCTTTGCCACTAGTGCCACCAAGTGTAATTCTCCAACACTGCCCGTATCTGCCAAAACAGATAGTCACGCCCCAAATTGCGATTGGTTAATACTATGTCAGATCATGCCATGTCCATTTGGTGCCACTGATGGCACAAAAACTACACAACACACCTTGAAGTACCTTGACTGGGCCTTCAAGTGGCAAAATGGATGTATAGTCAACCAGTAACCAGGCACACTTCATCTTCTCTAGCAGTTGAAGAATTGTGCCCCATCTTCATCACTGATGGGATAACTGTAGCCAACTTCTCCCCCTTGACCCTCATCCTCCAGTTGGTCCTTGCTATGGGGCATAGGGGAGGAATTGACCACCCCAGGGTTTCCAAAGCCTAGGGGCTGACTGTAAGAGTTGCTGCCTGCATCTGACTCTGTATCACTAGACTCCGTTCCACTACTAGTGGAACCATCAATCATATGGACTGGGCTATTGTGGTCATTAGCACGGAGACGGCTTCCATACAGTCTCTGGACATTGCTGGATCGAGCTTGGCTAGATGTTCCAAGCCCATTAGCAGCCACACGGCGTTCAAGGGCGGCCATACGTTCAGCTCTTGAGAGCACTGATCGGGGTTCATTAGCTTGGGTTGAACCTAACTGGCTCAAAATCATGGGATCGGTGTCGGAACGGTTACGCATGCCATTATGGAGTTTCTGCAAGTGTGGGGATCGACTGACAATTGGGGAGTAGCTCCCATAATGTTGAGGCTCACTCCCAGATCGACCATTGGTAAGGTAATGGTTACCGTCATCCCGACGGTGACGACTGCTATAGCCGATCTGCTCTGGATGATTCAGGGAGTTGGTTTTGTGAAAACTGCTCATTACCGGACTACAGTTTGCACTCCGGGAACCAACTAATGGACCGGAAGGTGACACCAGACCACGTCTATCCATACCTTGAAACAATTCATCCACCAAGGTACTACTCAGGGGTAAAGAACGTGGTGATCCATTACCACAAAACGACCCATTAGACAATTGACTACTGTTAAAGGTATCTGAACTCTGACCCAACCAATGGCTGGTCAAAGAAGACTCCCTAAATCTAGACTTGCTTGCCCCTTGTCCATTGTGCTGACTATTACCATAACCATTACTCTTGCCTGCTGTATGGCTGGTTGGCTCAACCTCATCATTGTCATGTGTGTGGGAGTGAGACCTAGTGACACGGCCTTTGACCACATCATATTCGCTATCTATGTCACTGCAGACGATGTAAGGTATCGAGGAGCTGCTACCCTTAGCAGCATGCGATGCTAGACCTGTGCTCAGATGCTCGGCCTGCTGCTTGGATGGGGATGGCTTTAATCGAGTATCCGCCTCATCGGGGGTCCCATTTCGGCATCCATTGGTCTGTGAGGTTAGACTCTCAGTGTAACGCTGGAGAGCTCGGTTTTCAACAGTCACTTGGGTGCACCCAATAGGGGAGTCCATCTGATGTCCTGAAGCACTGGCATTCCTCTGCAAAATGTAGAATGCAAGAGATGGTGGAAGGTAGAGGATGAGATGCATATATTGACCACTCCTAACACAGGTAATTTAAAGTCAACAAGAAATCACATTTGCAAGCCATTTTACATTGATGTTCTGTCTCAGAACAGAAGTGGACCAAGTTACCAGAGATAAAGTTATTACATTTGCATTACATTTTTGAATCATCAGGAACACTGATGATTCATTCACAATAGGAACAGGAATGTGTATTAAGAAAGTAATTGGGGTCGATTTTGATGTTGACTTGCATAATATGGGATTATTTTAATGCACTCCTACTGTGTTTGTACACTAAGATACATTACACTCACCTCTCCTTGACCCTCGGCACACAGCCTGGGTGGGGATGGAGAAAAACTGCTGTTGTACTGGATTTTACTGTGTTTTCTAAAGATGGAAGATTGGAAATTATTAGTAAGGAGTTTTTTCCAAAGGGCATCTCCACACTCGGTTCAAAAGCGGACTTATTTCCACTCAGCTGCTTTATGGGTGTTGCCTGATTAGATTATTGTATGATAAGGAAAAGGCACTGACTACTCTTAATTGACTAGAATGATACTGCTAGAAAACAACACAAAATTTTTACATCCAGTGCTTAAAAACCTTGATGCTATGTGATGCGATTTACAATATTTCTAGGTCAATTATAGTGTATTTTGGGTAATTTCTAGGCCATTTCTTGTTGGTTTCTAGGGTGCTTTGGGGTTTTTTTAGGGGGCATTGCTAGGTGGTTTCTAGTAGTGGTCGACCGATATATCGGCCGATATTTGGCATTTTTCAAATATCAGCATCAGCCAATAAGTTTTTCTGTTTGGCCGATGTGTTTGACTTTGGCGGTGTACCAGAGTGACGACGCTGAGAATGGCAATGCCTGAGCACACAGCTTCACATTCTCCCTCTTCATTGTTTGCTGTCATCATTTAACAGTTCTTTCTAATACAGATAGAAGTCTGTCTAATAATCAGATAGAACTGTTAAACAAAGAAATTAAAAGATTTTATTATAGCGATTGCTTTTATATTAATAGTACTAGAAAGGCAAGCATTATAATACTTTCCCGTTTACTGTGAGCATTCAGCAAATACGTATTTATATCATTTAAACAAATCTTTGAATGTCTAATAAACATTTAATTTCACAAACCTTGCAGACTTAGTCTAATTCAGCTGTGAGATCTTGTGAAGTGTGCATTTGTATCCTGCATGATCACGTGTATTCTGCGTGAAAGTTGGTCCATGCGAACTGAATCAATCGGCAACCTTTGAACACCTTATTTCAAACTATGCTCATTTGCCCACTGTCATATTCATGTCATTTTCACTGTGTGCTGTATGTAAAATGAGCGTTACCTTGGCTTTATTTGAAAAAATAAATAAATAATTCCCGGTGCACACAAACTTCCCAGATTACCAAGTGCCCTGTTGGTTACAGTGTTTGCTTCCTTTTTTATTTATATATATTTTTAATGTTTCTTTATTTTTGAAAAATATTGTAATAGGATTACAGAATCAAGTTGTCGTCTGAACTGAAGTATAAGTATGTTTATTTGACATTTATTTTCCAGGGTTTTCGTGGGTCCTTAAAAAGTCTTAAATTTAACATTTAAGGCCATAAAAAGTGTTAAATGGTACAAGAAAGTCTTAATTATGATTTCAAGAGGTCTTAAATTTGAGAAGAATTGTGATGATTAAACTTAAATAGGCGATGATTTCATTGAATAAATGAAATTAATCGACCCATATTTTTACACAGCAAATACGCAGTTGTAAATGTGAACCGGTGGATCTATTAATATATATGTTATTTAATTAATATAATAATTGATTGATAATAATTGTTTAAATTAATACAATAATTCATACTTTTTACTTTTCTTAAAATTTGTATAAAGGCTGAAATGTTAAGTTTATCATTTTATAAAACGTTTTGTTTTTGTGAATATCTGTATCTGATCTGTAAATCATGCTTTTTACAGTCATTTTAGTATAATATGTTATCATTGATGTTGCCCTATCACTCTCATATGGTAATACTTTTATTTGTGCAGGTCTAAAAAAGGTCTTAAAAAGTTTTGAAACTTGAAAAATCCTGCAGATAACCCTATTCTTTAAATTCATTTTCAAATTATTTCAAATTTCTTGAATATTAAAATAATTTCTAGGGACTTCTTGGTAGTTTCTAGGGCTTTTAGTGGTTTTTAGGATGTGGCATATGACATATTTCACCATACTTCACCTCCATAGTGAAAATGCTTAATGGAGAATGGAATGCACTGTGGATAAATCATATATGGATATTATTCAGATAAAACAGTCATGAAGTGGTGTGTAAATGGGGTGTGATGTTTAAGAATGCAAAATTTGATTGATCTCAATAAAGGTTACTAGGTAATAGATAACTGTGCTCATACTTCAAATGTTCTTTCTCACTGGTGTGTTAAATGTTTTGGAGGGAAATGAAATGCAGCAGAAAGGTAGTGACATTTAGACAAAGGTCAACAAGAAAACTCACCTTTCAAACGGAACCTTTTTGAATTCAGTGTCCTTTACATAATCAATCACCTGCCTTTGTGTGCGGCCGCTGATGAGATAAAACAAGACAGATGACGGAGCGGTTTAGAAACAAAGAGAGAAGCACAAAATGTGTACATCAAAACATTGACCATCTGGCAAGAACTGAGACCTACTTGCACTGTGATTTTTCAGCAAATAAATACCTGCAGAATATATGCTGAGCCAAAGAAAGAAGTTACCAAGGTAAGATGTCTCTAACATGTACCTTAATGGTAACTTTCATTTCTGGTGATGGAGAAGAAGTTCTTTTAAGACAACTGTATCTGCACAATTTGTTACCTGAACCTGAAGGAGGAACCCCTGGTAAACAAAACTGGTTTGGGCTTGGGTTTGGGTTCTTCAAACAGGCGGAAAAAGGCATGGTACTCCACACAAATCTTCCAAAACACCTTGCAGCAGTCCCTGCTTCCCATCATGAACTCCAGAGTATCCTGACAGCTACTCTGCTATGAGAGAAGAAACAGAAGATTTTGTCTTTTTAATGTTCCCATCGAAACACCTAAACTACATGGAAAATGGACAGAAAATGATTTAAGCGAGCACCAAAAGTTATTTGTGAACCCAGCCCTCGGGTAAAGACATAGCTTTAAGTGGAGACATTTGGATATTGTTATAAAACAAATCAAAGGAGAACTTACATTTAAGTCAGGTCGTAGTTTTATGAGAAAGCGCTTCCTTTTGAAGCTCAGCTTGCGGACTTTAGACCAGTTGAAAGCATTTATTTTGGTGTGTCCCTTTAGAAGTCAGGCATAGAAGTGCATTTAAGGACAATTTAAGGCAATAAAAACAACATATTCCATATAAGAAAGAGAACGCTTTGTTCTAGGATAAATCTCATACAGCCACAATGGATAAAACTCTAAATAGTTTGATGTATTATTTGGAAAGACACTTGAAACTTACCTGAAAGACCAGTACACCAGAATGCGCCACGGCAAGGCTGAGCTTCGTACCCTCGCGATCTTTTGCGGGATAAAGACGCACTCCGTACATCTCAAGTCTTCGTGCAATCTCCAAAAGCTGGTAGTCCGACTCAGCTGGTGTTTGCCCGCTGTGGAAGGGTTAAAATATAGAAAATTAAGCCTTTTTGTACAAAACATCTGTTTGTGTGAAGACACTCTACAAGTTTGTAAGACTGATAAGTAATAAGCTTAATAATCACGACCTCAAAAGGAACATATCAGAATCAACATGCAAGAACAGAACTTTTATAATTGTTTGTAATTGCTGATGAAATCTGTACACTGATAAATATTACACAGTTTCCTGGCACCTTCTAAATTAAAAATGGTCTGAACTTTAAATGTCAAAGCGATCTACAAATTGTACATGGCGACCAACTCCCTGAACACTATGTTTAATTAGCAAATCTCTAAACAGCTCTATTTTACTAAATAAGAAGCTCCTGGTGTGGAAATAAACAGCCCACTGATCATTTATTGCTGAGGAAGTGAGATAAGCTTTCAGCTGGACCATATTGCATATGAAATATAAGTATCCTTTAAACCAAATAACTGGTTTAATATTACTTTGAGTCATGACGTTACACTCACACGTGTTTCCGATGGTATTCAATGATCTTGTCCATCAGTGCATCCTGCACGGGAATGTACTTGTTGTTGAGTAGATGTTGTTTGCACTGCACTTCATCAAAGTCTCCGATCTCAGCTGTAACCATAGAAACAGAGATGATCTATTACATGCATCTATTATATGAATATAATACTATGCAAGAGGAAAGTACATTTAAAGTACTTAAAATTTTGAACTATTTTTATGTTTTCTACTTTTACCATAATGTTCAACAATATACAAACAACAAATATATTATATTATATTATATTCTGGTTTGCATCCATTGAGTTCCAAAATAGTCAAATAACAGTTAATTTGTTAAGTAATTAATTCAAGTGTTGGGAAGGTTACTTTGGAAATATAATAGGTTACAGATTACAATTTACCCTATTTAAAATGTTATAAGTAGTGTAACTATTTCAATTACATTTTAAAGTAATGTAACTGATTACATTTGATTACTTTTCTAAATTTCTATTGAATGTTATCAGCTGTTTCAAAATCTCTCAAAATCCTTCATCTCGTTAAGATTATAAGAATTTAATTTTAAAGCACAGCCACCACAAAATCAGACTTTAGTGCCTCTTTTTACTTTGAGATTGTTATGAGGTTAAAACAGATTTAAAATCATAACAATAAAATAGTAAATATTAATAGAAGTAGTATTTAGATGTAGCCCTCTTTGTAATCGTTAACATTTTCATAAGTAACTGTAATTTAATTACACATTTTTTTTCTCAGTAACTGTAACAGATTACAGTTACAATTATTTTGCAATTAAATTACGCAACGCCGTTACATGTAACTAGTTACTCGCCAACACTGATTCATTCACTGGATTATTCCAAAAGCAGTATATTTACCAGTATATATATATATAACACAGTTAATGTTTAAATACAGTTAAAAAGCAAAACAAAATAATGAGATTAAATTAATTTAATTACATTTAAATAATAAAATATTTTAATATGAAAGCTTTATTTAAATAACTTTGGTTTGTACCACTGGTCAGTCTCTTGATTCGATTACTGATGCTACACTAGCCCTCATCCTCCTCAGCAGTGGTTTCCATAGCAACTAACCAGTCTGTGATGTAGTGATGTTGAAGCAAAGCTTGTTTGACATGATCTGAACATGGTTTTGCATGAGCGACAACATGGAGTATAATCCAATCCGTCCACTCGATGACAGCGCTGTCATTCAAATAATCCTACGGGATTTCTGCTGAAGCATCAGCTTGACAATGACAAGTCTACAAGATTAACATACTTACACATAGTGGTCGACCGATATGGGTTTTTTGACAGCCTATGCCGATATCTTGGAAAGCAGGATGGCCGATGGCCGATATAAAGCCGATATAATTTTATTTATTTTAATTTATATTTAAGAAATTTGAAATCATTTGAAAATGGATTAAAAATAATTGTGTAAAATAAACATACTTGTACTTTAGAAGACAAAGCATTTTTCACAAATAAATAAATATTTAATAAAAATCTAATTAAAAAGGAAGTAAACACGGTAACCAACAGGGCACTCAGTATTCTGGGAAGTTTGTGTGAATAATTTTTTATTTTCGTTATAATACTTTTTTGTATACATTTTAATTCATTTAACAGTTCTATCTGATTATTAGATAGATTTATATCCATATTAGACAGAACTGAACGACGACAGTGAACAAGAGGGAGAGAATGTGAGCGGTGTGCGCTCAGGCGCTGCGGCTGCCATTCTCAGCGCCGTCAAAATAAAGTCCCGCCTTGAACACATCGGCCAAACAGAAAAACTTATCGGCCGATACCGATATTTGAAAAATGCCAAATATCGGCCGATATATCGGCCTTGGCGATATATCGGTTGACCACTACTTACGCATACTGCTTTTGCGATGGAGACAGATCATAATTCTGTGTGTTCAACACTTTTATTGTCCTAAATGCAATTACTGACCTTTTTTTAGATCCCTAATGCTTTTGATTGTGTTTGACTATGTGAATTGTGCCACAATCGTCAAACAGAATCCAATGAAAGTGCAAGACGACCATATTGAGCTAACAATGAAACTCCAACGCATCTATTATAGAATTTAATAATTGATTATCATCATTATAATTCCTGACCTATTTTCAGTTACATATCAGCCAAATCCAACTCTCTAATTACTTTAAAGGCAGATGCACAAATTGAACCATGCATCTTATTTCATAAAGAATCATAATCAAATCGAATCCATGTCAGAGTGAATATTTATATTCCTAGTGCTGGTAAAATATCTTGAATGTCTTACATTGCACTATATGAGAGACCAGCAAGGCGGCACTGCTTTCATTACAGGTCAAACGTCCACAGGCCAGGTCATGCTTGATCTGCAAGGCGAAAAGATACCTGTCGACAGAGAGCGGGACATAATTAGACCAATTTAGAAGAGAGACTGAATCAGAATGACAGGCAGTAAATCAATATAAAGGTTTCAGTACAGTGACAGATGCTTATTGATAGAATTACAGGCAATTTAAGGTGTGCAACAATTACACAACTGATTTCAATAGTCTGACTTTAGCATATAGAGAAGCTAAAACATTATTTTACATATTATTTAAGTTTATTGGGTAAGTGTCAATTTTTAATTGGATTTAACTGTTTTTAATCAATATTTTCTGGTATTTTCATATAAAGGGCTTGTGAAAATTATCCTGACTTCAGTCTTGCTTTAAATAGCATTTCATGATGCTAAATGCAGCCGTGAACTATAAAGTAGGGCTGAACAATTTTGGAAAATAATCTAATTGCGATTTTTTTTACCAATATTGCGATTGCGATTTAATATGCAATTATTTTTTAAAGACCTTTATGTTCTGTATTATTCAACAAAGACAAGCTATAAATCATTGTATCGTATGACCAACACACTATTAGATAGATTAAACATAAATGTTCTTTTCTGTAGGCAAGGCCTATATGTTACGATGAAATTAGGTGATGCATGAATTGATATGAATGACATTTTTATTTAACAACTACAATCACAGTATATTGACTAATTTGTTGAACTTCCAACCTTGTAAGCATGTAATAATTATGACAACATAAAGCACTGACAAATAAGCCTGGTGTAAACATTAATATGAAAGTCCGTAACAAATCAGACAAACTAAAGTAGATTGCAGAAATATAAAAACAAATCTGTTGCTTTACCACACTACTTTAGGTAATTCAAAGTCACTAAACACTGTCTGTTAACTTTAGACCAGTGGTTCTCAAACTTTTTTGGTCACGCCCCCTTTAAACCTATAAAAAAAAATTGAGAGAATAACTGTTATTATTATTATTCTCTCTCTGTTATATTTTTATTTTTTGTGGGTTTCATGCTGTCCGCGAAGGCATAGGACACACACACAGGCTTTCCTCCTCACCAACGACATTAAACACCGTGTCTACACCGGACGCGAGCGGCAAAATACAGTAGTAGAACCCAAACCCATTATAATCAGTGACGCTGTCTACACTGGATGCGGCGCGACACGACACGACAAAACCCGACATTAAACTGATGCCTTGTTCTGTTTATGACGTACTGACACAAATTTAAAATGATTTGCAATGGTCACTGTCCAGTGTACAGTAGAGCTGTTGCGGCGCGGCGCGACAACTCTAGCGTCCGGTATAGACACGGTGAGTGAAGTCGAGAGCAAGATATGCCTCGTCATATTTTCTGCATTTAGCTTTTGAATGACCAGCACCTGCCTGGGTCTGTGCGACTTCATCTATGGCTTTTCTCTTCCTTTTCACAAACCGATCCATCTCCCATTCTAAGTTACGTCCTTTGGCTGTTTACTGTTTTATTTCTTTTCTTTTTCTGCTGATGGCCCGCGCTCGACTTG